TTCGGATTTTATTAACCTTGATACAATTTATAATAGGTAAAATCTATAATACCCTGAAATAGGATGGCTCACAAACATTTGAATAACAAAATTAATTTTTATAAACCCTTTCAAGGATGTACCATTATCAGTCAATCATATGTCATATTTCTTTCTTAAGCTAATATTTTGGTGTTTCTCGTTTTACCCGCTCGACATACATCAACGCACACATACACACCACAAGACTCTGGTCAGGATTAACCTATGTCCAACTACCAGTGATGGGGAGTTCCTCCTTATGTTATGTACCCATTAAAAGCTTGCATTTAACCATACCAAGATATTAATCCAAACTGTTTATAAACGCAGGATTTAAGTTCCATTTTAATTTATTTCCAAACTCCTAAGGTATTCCCCATCACAGACCATTAATTTCACCCCAGCATCCAGCACCCGGCACGAAGCATTCTATTAAACATTACTGCATCTGTCTTATATTAACCCCTCTTTCTTAATTTCCTAACTTGGCAGGTTTAACCCGGGACATCAACAGCTTGACGCAGCGCTACGACTCGGAAACGGATCCGACAGCCGACCCGGACACAGATGCCACGGGCGATAGTCTGGAGCAGAGTCTGAGTCAACTGATCCCCGCTCCTGCCACCCACAAGATGCAGCAGTCTCTCCACGGCGGCGGCGGAGGAGGAGGCATTGGTCCTCGCTCCTCGCAGCAGCACAGCTCCTTCAAGCGGCCAACTGGGACGCCCGTGATGGGCAACCGCGGCTTGGAGACCCGGCAGAGCAAGCGTTCCCAGCAGCATCCACAGGCTCCGGCTCCAGCACCGCCGCTAAATCAACTGCATCATGGCAACAATGGAGTGGTGACCGGTGCCCATCCGATCACCGTGGGCGCACTGGAGGTGATGAATGTCAAGCGGGTGGTGAACCGCTACGGAACACTGCCCAAGGTGGCCAGGATCGGTGCCTATCTGGACAGTCTGGAGGATAGTGGTGAGGCTGCTCCTGCTCCACCGGCACCTGCTCCTGCTCCGCCACCAGCCAATGGACATGCCACGCCACCGGCGGCCAGAATCAATCCCAAGGCCAGTCCCATTCCGCCGCAGCAGATGATCCGGAGCAACTCCTCAGGTGGAGTGACCATGCAGAACAATGCAGCTGCCAGTTTGAATAAGCTGCAGCGTCATCGCACCACCACTGAGGGCACCATGATGACGTTCTCCTCCTTCCGGGCCGGCGGATCCAGTAGTTCACCCAAGCGGAGTGGTTCGGGAGTGGCAGCCGGAATACAGCCTGCTCTAGCCAATCTGGAGTTTCCACCGCCGCCGCTGGATTTGCCACCGCCACCCGAGGAATTCGAGGGTGCTCCACCACCTCCTCCGCCGGCGCCGGAGAGCGCTGTGCAGGCCATCCAGCAGCATCTGCATGCCCAGCTGCCAAACAATGGCAATATCAGCAACGGAAATGGAACGAACAACAACGATAGCAGCCACAACGATGTGAGCAACACTGCTCCCAGTGTCGAGGAGGCCAGCTCAAGATTCGGAGTGTCTCTGAGAAAGCGTGAGCCCTCCACCGACTCCTGCAGTTCGCTGGGCAGCCCACCCGAGGATCTCAAGGAGAAGCTGATCACCGAGATCAAGGCGGCCGGCAAGGAGAGTGCTCCGGCACCACATCTGGCAAATGGCTCGGGAATCGCAGTCGTGGATCCCGGCTCCTTGCTGGTCACCGAGCTGGCCGAGAGCATGAACCTACCCAAACCGCCGCCACCGCAACAGCAGCAGCAGAAGCTGACCAATGGCAATGGTTCCGGGCCGGGATTTAAAGCTCAACTCAAGAAAGTCGAACCCAAGAAGATGAGCCCGCCGATGGCCAAGGCGGAGCCAGCTAATACCATCATTGACTTCAAGGCCCATCTGCGTCGGGTGGACAAGGAGAAGGAGCCGCCAGCTCCAGCAGCAGTTCCAGTATCCTCCCTACCCGTAACTAACAATGCCAACTGCAATACAACAGGCACCTTGAACCGGAAGGACGACAGTAGCCGGAAGTTCGCCCAGGCCATGCAAAAGACTGAAATCAAAATCGACGTGACGAACTCGAATGTGGAGGCGGAAACGGGAGCAGCGGGCGAAGGCGATCTCGGCAAGCGACGGAGCACAGGTAGTATTAATAGCTTAAAGAAACTGTGGGAGCAGCAGCCCCCGGCTCCGGATTATGCCAGTAGCTCAATTCTGCAGCAGCAGCCAGCGGTGGTGAATGGCAGCGGAGCACCGAATGCCCAGCTGTCCCCCAAGTATGGGATGAAATCGGGAGCCACCATCGTTACCGGTAGCACCCTGCCAGCCAAGCCGGGCAATAAGCCCCCACCGGCAGCCCCACCACCACCGCCCCCGAATTGCACCACATCCAACTCCTCCACCACATCCACTAGCACCTCTAGTAGAGATTGCACCAGCAGGCAGCAGGCCGGCAGCACAATAAAAACCTCTCATTCAACGCAACTCTTCACAGATGACGAGGAGCAATCGCAATCGCAACCGGAGGGACTGGGAGGCCAGGTAGCGGCGGACATGACCCAGTCGCTGTACGAGCAGAAGCCGCAGATCCAGCAAAAGCCAGCGGTGCCGCACAAGCCCACCAAGCTGACCATCTACGCCACGCCAATAGCCAAGCTGGCCGAGCCGGCCAGTTCCGGATCCGCCAGCTCCACCCAGATATCCCGAGAGAGCATCCTCGAGCTTGTGGGACTGCTAGAAGGCTCGCTTAAGCACCCGGTCAATGCTATCGCTGGATCTCAGTGGCTGCAGCTGAGCGACAAGCTCAATATCCTGCACAATTCGTGCGTGATCTTTGCGGAGAACGGGGCGATGCCGCCGCACTCCAAGTTCCAGTTCCGGGAGCTGGTCACCCGGGTTGAGGCGCAGTCACGGCACCTGCGCACCGCCGGCAGCAAGAACGTCCAGGACAACGAACGCCTGGTGGCCGAGGTGGGTCAGTCGCTGCGCCAGATCTCCAATGCGCTTAACAGGTAAATGATAAGACGGGGGATGGACGCGCCCGACCAACATCAGGGCATCTGGCTGGATGCCGAGGGCAACTTCATCAAGCGCAAGTGATGGGGCCCCATCTGTAGACCCAATCATCCAACCACACCATCCCCCGTGGAACCGGAAATGCAAATGGAAATGGAAGCGGAGGCAGCGGAAGCAGCGAGACGGGAACAGAAAAATGAAAGCAGGAAATGAAACTTCAAGCCCAGCGAAGAAGGAAGGACAACTACAGTAGCAACAGGAGCAGCAGCAACTAAAATCGGAGGAGGACACCTATGTATCGTACTTGGTAGCGTGTAGTAGTAGCTTCTATTATATATACCCATATATATCTAGTCAGATCTGTGCAGAGCCCCGACGAACGCTTCCAGAAAACAAAAACAAACAAAAAACAAAAGAAAAACAAACATGAAATCAGTAAACAATGAGTTGCAAAGCAAATTTGGGTAAGGTCTCGCGGGAGGATCCTTGTTTTTAATTGTAAAGTAAGGGAACCCCTCCTCCCACCCACTCATCCCCTTTCCAACCGCCCCCTCAAACGTATTCGCGCTTCGTTTGTTTTATATACATAGAAAGACACAAGACATGGCTTAAGAATGAAAGGAAATATATTCATAGAATATCTCAATAAACTTAGTAATTACAAAGAAAACGCAATGCATATACACATATACATACATATATTTACATATACTAGTCGTAAAATGTTTTATTATACCTATACATTTACATACTTCTACAAGATAAACAGATAAAGATAAAGATATTATATTATACATTTACCGACCACCCTTTGAGAAAACGGATCTTGATACTTCTTCGGAATGTGTAGGCATGACTTCTTTTCGATCGTGTGTTTAAGGCCCGCAGCATATATGTCTATGATCATGATCTATATGTACTCGGCGTATCCATAACATACACAGTAGCAAAGCCCAAAGATATTATTATTAACTGATAACTACAACTACTACTACTCAAATTGATATGTTTAGTGGCAAAGACTAAATTGATTTATGTTTAATCTATGTTCGAGTACGAAGCGCATCGAAATGCTTTTAAGACGTATTACACAACCAATTGTAATTATTATCTGATATTTTCAAGGATTTTAAACAACTTTTATACGTAAACAAAAATCACATAAACAAAAAAAAAACAGAAACCAAATAAATTTATTTCAATATAAACGAATTGAAGAAATTGAAAAAATAAGCAGGGCGGTCAAACCTACAGATATAATTATAAATATTGATGTGCATACAATACATTGCCTTTCCTTAACCCCACTAGTCCTCTTCTTTGACCCCGAATCGAAAAAATGGGCCAACAGAGCTGGCAAGATGAATGCGAAACGTTGCCCAATATATACACAAATATATTTCTGTAACTTCTATGATACACCAAGCGCCTGATATGCGCTGCAGAATAATATCTAAAACGAAAACGGATCAAAAACAAAGTACTTCAATGAGAAATAAAAACGATATTTAAAGAATTCAAAATTCGTTGTAACGGTCTTTTAATATAATGTCGGAACTTCCGGACCTCATTTCAAAAGTAATCGGCTATGGGTTTTTTCACTAGCCCTAAAAGTATGCTGATATAAATGCAATCTTTATCTGCGATTGAGATCCAAGCTGAAAAGGTACAACAATAGGTAAAAACGTACATCTACAAGTAAAATAACTTTTTTTTTAAAGTAAAGTAAAGTATTTACTTGTGGAAAGTGAGTTCGTCTTGTCGGGCGTGTGAATCGGCTTTTTTGTTTGGAGACCTTTCCCATTAATATGTGACACCATTTTTTCGGATCCTTTTAATTTGCTTCTGGCAACGCTGGATTCGTTACATTTTAAAATATGGTTTGAGTCTTTACTAAGACCCAGTGCTGCAAAGTCTTTGTTGGTCCCTTACAACACTGTCAGCCAGCCGTGCGGTGCGGTGCGATAGTCCTATCGAAACGTCGGCATATCGAAACGACGGCCAATCGAAATTGTTCATTGAAGTCGAGAAAAAAAATAATATATAATAATAGAATATTTCACCGTGATAATATTGCCAAGCATTGTTTTCCGCGTCTTCGCCGTCGGTAATTGGGCAACTTTCAAAACGACCACAAATCCAGTGCTCGAAGGGCCCCGAACAGCCGGATAAACGGCACCAGAAACGAGACATCATCGACAGGCCAACCACAACGACAGCCCAACCACATCCACAAATCCACAGCCAAATCCAAATCCAAAACCGAATCCCAATCCGAATCAAAGCCCATTTCGATTGAAAAGACAGCGTAGCAGCCAGCGGAATGCCACTGTTTGGGAAGTCGCAGAAGTCGCCAGTGGAGCTGGTCAAGTCGCTAAAGGAGGCGATCAACGCCCTGGAGGCGGGCGACCGCAAGGTGGAGAAGGCGCAGGAGGACGTCAGCAAGAACCTGGTCTCGATCAAGAACATGCTCTACGGGAGCAGTGACGCCGAGCCGCCGGCGGACTATGTGGTGGCCCAGCTGTCGCAGGAGCTGTACAACAGCAACCTGCTGCTGTTGCTCATCCAGAACCTGCACCGCATCGACTTCGAGGGCAAGAAGCATGTGGCGCTCATATTCAACAATGTGCTGCGCCGCCAAATTGGCACCCGTTCGCCCACCGTCGAGTATATCTGCACGAAGCCGGAGATTCTGTTCACCCTGATGGCCGGCTACGAGGATGCGCATCCGGAGATCGCCCTGAACTCCGGCACAATGCTGAGGGAGTGCGCCCGATACGAGGCGCTGGCCAAGATAATGCTGCACTCCGACGAGTTCTTCAAGTTTTTCCGCTACGTGGAGGTGTCCACCTTCGACATTGCCAGCGATGCCTTCTCAACGTTCAAGGAGCTGCTCACGCGCCACAAGCTGCTGTGCGCCGAGTTCCTGGACGCTAACTACGACAAGTTCTTCTCGCAGCACTACCAGCGGCTGCTTAACTCGGAAAACTATGTGACGCGGCGCCAGAGCTTGAAGCTGCTGGGAGAACTGCTGCTGGACCGGCACAACTTCACCGTGATGACGCGCTACATCTCCGAGCCGGAGAACCTCAAGCTGATGATGAACATGCTCAAGGAGAAGTCGCGCAACATACAGTTCGAGGCGTTTCACGTCTTCAAGGTGTTTGTGGCGAATCCCAACAAGCCGAAGCCCATCCTGGACATCCTGCTGCGCAACCAGACGAAGCTGGTCGACTTTCTGACCAACTTCCACACGGATCGCTCCGAGGACGAGCAGTTCAACGACGAGAAGGCCTATCTGATCAAGCAGATAAAGGAGCTGAAGCCGCTGCCCGAGGCTTAGTTGGACCTGGACCTTGGCTCCAACTTCAGCTCCAACTCCAGATCCAGATCCAGCGTCCCGGGGGCAAAAGGACCGTAGCCAGAAGCGATCGATACGGAAGCAGAAGCAGAAACAGCGAGAGCGAGAGCGAGAGCGATGGTGGGTTAGCAGGATGTGAACATGTTTTGTGTGTGGGTTAAAGCAAATATATATTATATATGTATACTATATTTTGTGACGATGATGACTCTACACTTGTGAGTAACTAAACAATAATTTAGACAACAACAACAACACTGATGATAATGATAAATAACGATAAAGCGAATTAGAAAACCAAGAAAAAGTACGAGTAAATAGCGTAAAGCCGAAAAAAGAACCGAAAGAGAGTTTCGAATTTAACATAGCCACATTTAGACATTCTGGGCCTAGAAATCCACTATCTTACTATATAGGTTTTACCATCCGTCGATCCTCCGCCTTATCCCTCTTGTTCCCTCGACCCCGTTTCGATATCCATTTAACTAGCTGTTGTATTTGAAATTTAAGCGTTTTTGAAACGAGATATCCCTTCACCCCCAAGACCTGCCACGCCTCCTTTTCGCCCTCCCCCCCAAACAAAAAAACTGAAGATTCACAATGAGTTTTGACTTAAAAATGTAATTCCACGCAAAATTCATAAAAAACGAAAACTAAATACTGCATAATAATAATTCATAGTGATAATTGTCTGTGCATCCTTTGGCATGGACTCTATTATATATATACCGATATATATATATATATATATAGAAAGAGAGAGAGAGAGCATTCAACACACACACACACTACACACATGCATACGTACATAGTTAAAAGGGAAGTAAAACAAACAAAAAAAAAACAACATTGCAAGCAACATAATAACTATATGATTATTATAATTTATATTATTCCCAAATTAAAGATAACAGCCAAACTAAAAAGTGGCTTTTTAATGGTGAAAGGGGTTTTCTTAGGGGGCGGGGCGAAGAGCTTTCCACCTGAGTCATGTGAAAAAAATCAATCCAGGGCGGCAACCTCACCCAAAAAACGTCGATCAAGGGCTGGGGAGATGATTCACACACGGAAATCTGCAGAGGTTTGAAATCACGTTACAAATGTATCTTTCAATATGAGAGGTACAAATAATGTGATACTTCTGCATTTAAGCCTTCTCTGGAAGACGTTGTATCTATACAATTTCTATAGTTTATATTTTATTTTCCGCTTAATAAATGCATTCGAGTGTGCTTAGGCTAACTATGACTATGGATTAAGTTGACTAGATCTATCGACGTTTCTTCTTCTCCAGCTTCCGGATCTTGTGCAGCCGTGCCCTAACCGGTTCGCCCTCCCGCTCCGTCACTTCTCCGGACTCCGGATTACTGCTACTATCTGGGTTGTTCTCCATCAGCACTGCGGCGGAGATGCAAAGGAACTGGAAGAGTGCTCCCACATAGAGTCCGTAACGGATTAGCAGACTGAAGAGGTCCTCGTCGCCGTATTTGTCCAGCGATGCGGCGGCGGCCAGGCTCTCAGCGGAGGCTGACATACCTCGTCCGGTTTTGTTTATAAACAAATGTCGCGGGGAGTGGTACAAGAAAACAACAACTTCAAAAGGTTCTAGGGGCTATTGTTTTGTTTTTTTTTTGTATTGAGTAGAGATGGTACAACTTGTCTGCAGCCCTGGCGTCAACTATCGATAACATAGACAAGAATTGTTAGTTATAAATCTTTATTAATCTTATTTTTGTAGAATTAAATTATTACACTTTATTTTGGTACCAAAAGGTGGTTTCCATTACATCACTTCAATAATCATTTAATTTTGAGGACCAAAGCACTGTGATATATTGGGAGAGGCCCCATCTCTGGAAAACTATCGACTGGCTTGACCCCCAATGTCTCCCATCCCTAACCCGTTCTAGTCGCGTTAATTTTTGCATAATATTTAAGATTAGTCAAACAAAAGTGTGAATTAATTATGTCATGTTTCCGGCTGGCAACTGCCAGCGTGCTGGCAGGCGTCCGTCCTCCGCCGGCGGGAAGCGGGAGCGGAGCTCTACGCCGGCTGACCCGTAATCCGGATTTTGCATTTGCTCGCCGCCAGTTCGCAGTGGCGGTGGAAAACGGCGGTGCCAAGAAGAAGCCGAATGGAACCTTTAAGCTGGCCATTTTGGGGGCGACAGTGGGTGCGGCCACCGGATCGGTGTACACGATGTACCAACGCTGGACGGACGGCAGTTCGCACAAGGAGCACGAGGAGACGAAGCCGCATCGCCTGGACGGATTCCCGGCGGGAGTACGGATAACCAAGCGCTATGTCAACCCCAAGGACACCTCCGGCCTGGACATTGTTCTGTTCCAGTTCCAGACATGTCCCTTCTGCTGCAAGGTGCGCGCCTTCCTCGACTACATGGGCATCTCCTACTCGGTGGTCGAGGTGGATGCCGTTCTGCGGCAGGACATCCGCTGGTCGTCGGTAAAGAAGGTGCCGATGGTGCTTATCCGGCAACAGGATGGAAAATACGTCCAGATGGTGGACTCCAGTGCCATTGTGTCCCTAATAGCCACCTATCTGCAGGACAAGCGCACGGACATTGGCGAACTGGCGCAGTTCTATCCGCACACCTCCTTTTTTGACGACGATGGCAAAAAGAAGAACGACATATTAAATAAATACTTCCTTATGTACCGCGAACACACGCCCAAGGGACTGTCCAAGGAAACGGAAGAGTAAGTTCGTCAGTGACAATGGATCATTTGATTACAAACTCACATTCGCAGGACCGATCGCAAGTGGAGAACCTGGGCCGACAGCCACCTGGTGCACCTGATATCACCGAATTGCTACCAGACCATGGGTGAGTCCCTGGAGACTTTCGAGTGGTTCTCGCAGGCCGGCGAGTGGGACGTTCACTTCCCCAAGTGGGAGCGCGACCTGATGGTCTACTGCGGCGCAACGGCCATGTGGGCTATTGCCAAGATGCTGAAACGCCGCCATGCCCTTACCGATGACGTCCGGTCGCATATGTACGACGCTCTAGACCAGTGGACCGGCGAGCTGAAAAAGCGGAATACGAAATTCATGGGGGGCAAACAGCCCAGTCTGGCGGATCTCTCTGTTTTTGGTGTGCTCTCAAGCATGGAGGGCTGTCAGACGTTCAAGGATTGCCTGCAAAACACCAGCATTGGTAAATGTTTGAGTTGTTTTAAAGAATTTTAATTTTTAATTGATGTTTCCTTTTTCGCGATAACAGGAAAATGGTTTTACGATGTCAAGGCTTTGGTCGAGAAGAACCGGGGGCAATTACATAGAGAACGCGTCGAGGGCCTGGCGGCTATAGCTTAGAACAACCCATCTGCCCTAAATTTATCCAAAGATTGTTGAAAATGACCCAACTGTTCAATAAAACATACTTTTTATCCATTACTGCTTAAAGCCGTCTTAGGAGTATTTGTTTAAGGCACAAATCTTGTTTCTTTAATGTAACGTAGTATTAGATTTTAAAAATTCAAAATTTAAATACTTCCTGCTGATAAAAAATACCTATACCGATAGCTATCGATAACTCTTCCGGGCATACAGAGCCCGGATAGTATGCTTGTCCGCCAACGGTCACATTGATTTCCTGAATATTTGCTAGCCGCTGGAAACTTGCAAATCATCAAATCATTTCGTTCATTTTTTTACCTGACGAGTTAATTGGTAAATTTAAGCACAAACATGAGCAGACTAGGCTTCGAGCAGTTCCCGGACTACCAGGTGCCCGGCATGAAGCACGCGGACTTCTCGCCCTACGAGTCCAACGGCGGGTGAGTTAGCGTTTCCCCAAGATGTCCCGGTCTGGCTGGATTCCCAACTAACCAAGCTCCCTGTTTGCAGCTCGATTGTGGCCATCGCCGGAGAGGACTTTGCAGTGATTGCGGCGGACACCCGTTTGAGCAGCGGCTACAACATCCACTCCCGCACTCAGAGCAAGCTCTTCAAGCTGTCGCCGCAGACGGTGCTGGGCTCCACGGGCTGCTGGGCGGACACACTGTCGCTAACCGGATCGATGAAGGTTCGCATGCAGAGCTACGAGCACACCCATCTGCGTACCATGACCACCGAGGCAGTGGCCCAGATGCTCTCCATCGCCATGTACAATCGCCGCTTCTTCCCGTACTACGTGTCCAACATTCTGGCCGGGATCGACAACGACGGGCACGGCGTCGTCTACTCGTACGATCCCATCGGCCACTGTGAGAAGGCCACATACCGCGCCGGCGGTACTGCCGGAACCCTGCTGCAGCCGGTGCTGGACAACCAGATCGGCCACAAGAACATGAACTTGGCCGCCGGCGAGGTGCCCAAGTTGGACAAGGAGCGGGCCGTGAGCGTCGCCTCCGACACCTTCATTTCGGCCGCAGAGCGCGACATATACACCGGTGACTCTGTGCTGATCAACATCATCACCAAGGACGGCATCGAAGTTAGACAGCTGACACTGCGCCAGGACTAGACTAAGTCGAGGTTGTGGGCGTCTTATGTGGTCAGGGCATTCAATGGAAACCAGGCATTCTAAGTTAGTTGGCTTCAAATTTTTGTAATTTACCCGAAATAACACATCGTAATAAACTGAATCTTTGAGATTTCATTTCAAATTTAGCACTCAGTGTGACCAGGCGGCTCTGGCAAAAGTCGTCTTCACATGGTATAAAACTTACAGCACGGGGTAAACTACTAGCACCGGAAATGTTAAATTCGATTGAGTTTAATTAAAAATCAATATTGTTCAGGAAAATCGTTTTAAATAAATATTATATTTAGGACAATAGGTGTACTTAATCAAATTTTAGTTAAACATTGGCTGCTTTTAAATTGTATAATTCATAGTTCGGTATCAACGGTGCCTTAAAAAATTAACAGCACTTACAATCTGTAATTAAATTTTTAACAGGTATTTATGCTTAAAGTACCATTGTCAGCGCTATTTAAATGGCCGCTGGTGCGCATAAACAAGACTGTTTGTGATAAATTTCTGTCCAATGAAGAGTTCCGAATTCTCGCCGCTGCCGCTGCTTTGTTTGCTACTGACTTTGGAAAAAACCCTGATCTCCGGTCAGATGATGTCCTCGCTGGTGAAGCCGGGCATCTTCAGGCACCTGATGTGCCGCAACAACATGTACCCGCGCAGCTCCGTCCTCAGGTACCCGGTGTCCGATGATCAGGTCTTCTGGTCAGAGCCTTATTCGGATTACTGCCCGCCAGTGTACACCTCGCCACACATTGGCGGCCAGGTGTGGGCCGATCCTCCACTGCCCAGCGAGACGTTCCGGCCGCAGTGGAACCAGCTGGATGGCCAGGTCAACCGCAAGTCATTCCATGGCGCGTACAAGCTGAAGGACGGACTGCCGCTCAATCCGATCGGACGCACTGGACTGAGTGGACGTGGTTCTCTGGGCAGATGGGGTCCCAATCATGCCGCTGATCCCATAGTCACACGCTGGAAGCGAAACGACCAGGGAACCATTGTGACCAACCCAACAACCGGCAAGTAAGTGAGCCACAATCGCCTATAGACTGAGTTAAACCTCTCATCTTTCCCATCAGGAATATCCTACAGATGGTGGCCATCCAGCGGTCTGACAACAAGCTATGGGCTATTCCTGGCGGCATGGTCGATCCCGGTGAGAATGTCAGCGTCACCCTGAAGCGGGAATTCACCGAGGAGGCGCTGAACTTCACGGACAAGGCCAACATGGTCGAGCAGTTCTTCAAAGAAGGTGGCGTCCAAGTGTACCAAGGATATGTGGACGATTTCCGCAACACGGACAACGCTTGGATGGAGACCACGGCGCTCAACTTCCACGATGAGGACGGGAGCAAAGTGGGTCAACTGGAGCTAATGGCAGGCGACGATGCCACCAGTGTGCGCTGGACGGACGTCGACTCCGATCTCAAGCTGCACGCCAATCATGCAGACATCGTCCGGGAGGTGGTCATCCGGCGGAATGCGCACTGGTAGAGACCAGCACTAGCCATACAAAAACTCAATCCTAACTCTAGATCACTTGAATTTAGTAAGTTCGCTCCAATCGAAACTTTCATACATAAAACAATTTAAACAATGTTAAAAATTGTTAATTGTACCAGATCCTACAGATGAACCCCTCAAATGTAAACAAAATGTATCCTTTATTGTATCGTTTATTTCAGACTATTCATATTCATGTGTCACTGGGTGCAGATATTATAAATTACAAAACATGTTGCCATGGTTTTTCGGCCTGGTAGAAAAACTACAGCTTGCAAATTTAAAGATCAGTTATCCTGAATGTCTTAACGCCGCAAAAGCACACTAACGTACAACTGAAAATTTTAATATTCTCGGACCCATTCTTATCCAGAGCGAATTGTTCTCAGGACACCTGCATCAATTCCAATAGATTTGTCTGCGGGCGGAGGGAGTACGAGGATTAGCCAGATTGGGTGCGGATGTGTGACGTGTGGCGAGAGCTGTTTGGTGTGTTGGCGTGAGGATGTGTGTGCTTACAGGGCTTGCACATAGTTGAACACCTCCGGATTCGTGTTGGCCACTTTGTTGAAAGTGTCCGGATAGTGGGTGCGAATCTCCTTCATGAAGTTCACCGCGCTCTCGCTGGCCTCCTCGCTGGCCACCTGTTTATTGTAAACCGAGTCGATGGTGATAATCAGCATTTGCTCGAGATGGGGCTCAATGCTGGGTAAATCATTCATGTAGAGCACGCGGAACGCTTTCTGAACCATATCGTTCTCCTCGAAGTCCTCCTTCAGAGGCAAGTGGTTGAGGAAAACGGGCAGCACCTGGCCAAGCGGGACCGCCTCATGGTTGGTGCAGATCAGGCGCGCCACTGCTCCGCAGATATTGTCCAAGGCAGGGGGATCTGACTCCCTGCTGATTGCTTCTGAAAGGGCTTGCAAGATTGCCGGATATGATCTGCGGATAGAAATAAAAAATGCATATAAATGCAATATACTTTCGCAGTAGTTAATACCGCCACTTAAGGGCACTCACTCGAATGATTTTTGCTCGGCATGGAAGACCATTTCACCCAGCCCAAAATAGCAGTTCTGACGCGTTTTGGGGTCCGAGTCCTTGGTCCCTGCGACAAAAAGCGGATACAGGGCGTCGAAATACATAGCCGTGCATCCCCCCAGAGCGCTGAAGCAGTCGGCCAGAGCACCATAGATGAAAGCCCGGTGCTCGGCCATATCTTCCTTCTTGGCCTTGGCCTGCAAGAAAGTAATGGATTTGTAACAATACGATCAGTGTATAAAGCAACAGATCAGCCTACCAGCTTTTGAACGAAGAATTGGTAGATGCGTCCGAAGAACATCGAGAACGCCTCCGGCTGAACGCTATTTTTAAGCGTGGGCACCAGATTGAAAGCAGTCTCGATCAGCATCTCATCGGACTCGCTGTCCTCCGCATCCTCCTCATCACCACCGCCGCTCTGCTCGTTAAACTGGCAGGCCAGTTTGTTGGCAAAAGCATCCTTGATGGCGCCGCAGATCAGATCGACGTGTTCCTGGTTGGTTATAACCGGCTGCTTGGCTTTCCTCATGAGATCGGAGAGCTGCTCCAGCAGATGAATTGCGACCGACACTTCGTCGTCAGATCGCAACAAAAGTGCAAGTTTTGGAATGACAATTCCGCTGGCGCGCGCTAAACCGTCAGCGTCCCCCATCTTATCGAGAGCCAACATGAACCCGCAGATGGCAGTGATGGACGCCTTTCGGATTTCATCCTGCGGATGATCAATCACCTTGTAGACGTTCTCGAATGCAGGCTGCAAATAGGGCACGAAGGCGGAACCCGTGTTTTCAGCAAATTCCTTGAGTGCATAAATAGCCTCCTCCTTTTCGGCGACATAGTCATTCTCCGTCTGGTAGGCCAATATGTCTTCAGAGTCATCCTCGTCGTCTGTGTTCTCCAGATCGATCTCCACATTGGCAGTATCCAGGACAGGATCCATTTCAGCCTTGTCCGACACATAAGGCATCATATCCTCCGAGGAGATCACCGACTCCATTACACGATCCATGATCTTGGGGAACACGGTGGCCATGCTCTCGTTGACCACCGTTGACAGGGAACCGATCAATCGGTAAATGGCCCTTCGGACGTCTGGATCGTCGGGACCATCGGCCAGCATCAACAGGCAGAAGTTCATTGTGTCGTCGGCCAGCGGCATAAAGTATTCCTTGCCCACGTCGCGACTGAGCGCGGCAAGTGTTTCGATGGCTTCGATGCGCAGACCTTGCACTTCTTCGGGGCAATCCTTTACCAGAAAGGGCTGCAGAATGTTCATGATGGTGGGGAAATACGGCATCATGTGCGCCTTAGCTGCGTCGGACACCGACCCGATAGCTTCCACGGCCTTTTCACGTACGCGTATAGGATGCTGGGGTTCCAGAATCTTAAACAGACTGCAATCATAGGTAGGAAGGAGAAATACCCATTATTTCAATGAGCAGCATTGACTACCAATTAAGCCTTACCGGTCCATCAGTGTGGGCAAATGGGGAACAAGCTCATCTTCCAGATTCTCACAGAAGGTTGTCAATGCATAGAACATGCGATCCAAGTGCTTACGATCCGGCTCACCCACCTGTAAGGTTAGAACTTTAGTGCGTTCCTGGCAAAAAACGTGTTGTGTTCTGGTGCAAAGTGCCGCTCAAATGAAAATGGACTTCTTAAAAGCAATTGTACAAATTTCTGTGTCAGCTCTATATTCATCTTGTATTTTTTGTTAGAAAAATGCGGAAAATAAGATGTATAAAGCGTATTCGACGGTATTTTCCGGCCAAGAGAGCTTTCACTGTAATAAATCTATGCAAAGAGGTAGATGAAGTGCACTTAAATATCAAAGTTTAAGGTAAGACACTGAAAAAGCACCCTATACTTGGTGAGAACCGATTTGCGCTTGAACTGTAACTTGTCTAAGTACATTATGGAATCTTTGGCAGGGACGAAAGCGCGATCGCTCCCGTTACTGTTCTGGCCAGCCTTTAGAAGCAGCACAAACAAACAAATAAACGAGAATGTAGAGTACAGAGATATTCGAATTTGGCCAGATCGGGAGCCTCAAAAAGTACATACCTGGAGATCCAATATCAGCTGGCTCAAATAGGCGAAGAGGACGGGCAGAATCTGTGGAGCGAACTTCGAGATTTCTGGCTGCAAATGCTCGGCAAACTGACCAAGTGCGAAGAAAGCGGAGGCGCGCACCAACAACACAGAGTCGGCAATTCCGGCTTTGATGATATTCAGCATGACCTCCAGATACTTATTGACAATGGCCTCGGAGCAACCCTCGGCAATGACGCCCATGCACATAAAGGAGGAGCGACGATACGCAGGATTCGGGTTCTGCAACGCCGGCTCCAACAGCTGCAGCATCGGCGGAATGAACCTTTCCGGCGACATGTTAAGAGCCATCAAGTCTAGGGTCTCCGCAGCCGCAGACGCTGGTTTACCCTCGCTCTCCTCGGTAAAGTAATCATCGTCTGAAAGCGAAAACGGAACCCATTAGCAAAACAAAGTGCTGAATAGTAAAAGAGTAGTTACAACCTCCATCTTCGCAGTCGTGCTGGCACATCACTTCGAACAAAACGGATAGAATGGGCTCGAGCAGTTTCTGCTTCAATATCGGCTTCTTCTTAATGCGGCCAAGGACGCCAATGAAGGCTATCACCTGGCAGCGAATTGAATCCTCGAGCTGCTTGTCGCCCGCTATTACCAGACTGAACTCCAGTAGCGGCTTGACATTAGTGTTTAGCAAATGGGGCACATACTCGGCCATACTGTCCACAATATCAAAGGCACCCGTGAACTTTTGTTCATCCCCCTTCTGGGCGAAGGCGTGCAGGGCCTTGAGAATCAGCGGCATCGCCTTGACGACCGTCTGCTCGGCAGCACTGTGACCACTGATGAACGGCAGCAGGTAGCATGTGCCGACCAGCATCTCGTACACGGTTGGTGTGGCCAGGTCGCCGGATGCCTCGGCGGCTACTAGAACACCGGCGAACAGCTGGAAGATGGCCTCCATGTGGAGCGCAAACTGATCGGGGGCCGAGTCCGTGAGTGTGGAGAAGATTGTGGCGCCCAGCTCGCTCTCCTTGGGATCGGAACTGCTGCAGCGTTCGTAGACGAACTTAAGCAGCTCCGTCATCCAGGAGTCTCCCTTTTCCGCCTCGTGGCGTACCAGGGCGCCAATCAGCTGGGCCACAGCGTTCTTCACGCTCCTCTCCTTCTCCGTGATTAGGACTTGCAACATGGTCGATTTAATGCTGGGCGGGCAGAACATACATATATTTATATTACTTTATTAGTTGTTGAACTGTGGAACTTACGCTGCCTGATGCTCGGCGGGAACCATCTGCCAGTGGCGCAGCTTGTTCAGTCGCTTCCGGAGGAGCACGGCGGCGAACTGGCGCACCTGGATCTCATGGTTCGACGTTACGATCTGGGTGAGGCACAACAAAGTATCGGGATTCTCGTAGGCCTTCATCAACTGGTCGGTCGACTAAAAGAAGGGGAGGAAGGCCATTTTATTAGTCACTTCTAGGGCCGTATGGCCACATATCTTCAGCATAAATAATTTCCCAATTAGGAAGCGCGGAAGTGTGCGTCCATGTGGACAGCGTGCTTTTGAATGCCAAAGAGACAGTGGTCCGCCAAAATTGACATCATGAAGAAATCTGGCACATTTTGGCATACTCCATAAAGTTTATTCTATTTGAATGTATAGGTACCTATAGGTAGGCTAGTCTTTCCCTTATTATATTCAACTAGTTGAGTATGAAGATAAATATGATTTCCAGGAATAATGCAGTATTATTTTTACTAATTAAACAAAACAAGGAACAACAATATCTATTATTTGTAAGTTATTATTTGCAGTAGGACGAATTACCAAATTGAAATACAACAAAACTCAATTCGCTTTCGTCCACAAGATCGGAAAAATAAGAAATGGAAATTAAAATGTTCTAAGTCTCAACTATATAAAAAAAGGTTCTCTACCCGTTCTTTTTCAAAAGTACGACAAAATAAAAACTTTAAATGCATAAAATTGGAAAGCAAACTTTTTATCCTGATCATGTTAATTCTCATTTCTGTTTTAATCTGGAAAGTACAGAATTTTAAAAAATTAAAATAAAAAGTATGTTAACTTAAAAATGTAGTAATTCGACTGGATCTTAATGTAAAAGTAGTAATTCTGGTTATTATTAATTATATATTTTTTATTTTTTTCCCCTATGAACCTTGTAATATCTGCATTCGGCCCACTGTGCCGTAGGAACATTGGCGCGTATAGGAATGTACCCATGCCGATCTAATAGCCACTGTATTAAAGTCTGGTACATATATCTATGTGCATATGTATGGACGTAGAGACAGGCGAAAATGATGATCAAGCCACGCGGTAAAAGCGAAAGGGGATCAAAAGAAAGATGGATGCATGGAGCACGAAATTGATGTCACGAAGGGCGGACAGGATAACCTCCTTTTTACCGCCGAACGCCCCCTTTTCCCGCCCTGCTCACCTGGCGAATCCGCTCCGTGTCCGTGGCCAGGAGTCCATTGATTAGTTCCAGCATAGCTGCCTCCATTTTCAGCGAGTTTGTGGGTGTGTGTCCTGTCCAAAATCGAATGCACTCCGGGATAAATCACAGCCGCCGAAAACGCACGAGCGGAATTGAGTAGTGGGAAGCCGGGGAGAATTCGCGAAAATGCGACCAGGGTTGGATGTGTTTCAGCGTTGCACGTTTTGTGTCTATTAACTATTTTAATAAATTTTGTTCTATATTTTAAAGAAATTATTTTTTTTGTTTACTACGCGTGTGTTGATCTGCTCGCCTGAAAAAGTGTAATGGAATAAAGTTTAGAAAACATATCTTACATTTGACACTGGAAGCGACAGTTTATCAAAAGGTGATTCGTTTGCAGCCCTTGACTTATCGTTATCGGCGTCCATTTTCGAACCCAAACGACGCGCCTTTTTTTGTTTACGGGTTCGATTCGCCATAAAGTAACTGTTAGAGGGTGAAGCGGAATGGACAAGAGCAACGGAAGCCCCGGAAATGGAAGCTACATGGACCAGAACTCGCTGGGCATCCTGAACATGGACAATCTGAAAGGTAAGCAGGCGGAGCACGCCGGTCAACCCGATAATAACTGTAAGTAATCCGGAGTCCCTGCAGTCTTTGGCGATTTGTCCAGCTTCAGCAAGAGCAGCGGCGGTGGCAGGAGAAGTGGCGTTGTCCGGGACTCCACCGGCGTCCACGAGCGACTCCGGGAGGAGCGATTGCGCGCATTAGAGACTCTAGAGAAGCCAAGACCCTCGCGCACCAGCCAAGCGAAGAGCATGGCCCTCCAGAAGCGCTGTACCACAAACATCTCGGAGTTGGTAACAGATGAGACCATCGACCTGAACAGCAGCAGTTCCTTTGTCCTGACCACGCCAGCCCCTAAGGGCACAAACATCTCCTTTGAGCCTGCCGAGATCACAGGCAGATCCACGCTCTGCCAGGCCGGGAAACAGCGCCGCCGAGATAAGCCATCCCTTTCCGTGGCCGAAATCCTCAAGTCCTCATTCGTGGAGAAGGCCCGTCTGCTGGAGAAGAAGCTGCAGGATTCCAGCCAGCTGGAGGCCAGCTACCATTTGTCGCGGGCCAACTCGAGCAGCCTCTCGGACTCGTTCAGTTGCTCCCGCAGCTTGCCGCGAACCGCGGACATGAGTGACCTGAGTCTCAATGGCGGAGGGGGCTTCTCATTCGGCTCCGCCTCACTAGCGGCGGATGGCCAGGACGAGAGCTTCGCCCCCGCCGAGCTGATGCAGTCCAAATTGGTGATGGGCGAGATCTCGTGGGCGCAGGAGTTTACTGCCATGCCCACCGCCACTTTGAGCAACCAAGCAATGCAGAAGATTGCCGCACCGCCGCCGCTTACATCCGAAATAGAAACCTCCGTGTCCAAGTAAGTAAAGGATAAAGTTGCCATAGGATGTAAAAGTAATCTTATGCTTTCAGTTCCGTCTTGGCCGGAGATCCGGACTTCTCGCTGGGCAACTACTTTCAGACGCGCTCGGAGAACATCTGGAACATAGTTAAGGAAGGCAGTCCTGATCGCACGCGACCCACTCAAGCGCTGCTGGAGCCAGAAGCCAACAAGACGCTGGACTCTGTGGGCGAGAAGACCCCGCAGCCGGACAACAAAACATACACCAAGGCGGATGCCATTGCAGGCTCGAGCCTTGGACGTAACCTTATGCGAAAGATGCAGCAGGATCGTATTCAGACGGTTTTGAAGGCCAACAATGGCCTGGCGGCTCAAGAGCCCAAACGGCCGCCCTCGAGCTCCGAGATCCTAAGTCTATCGGCTATCGACAAGGCGCTGAGGGACATAGATCTGAACTCTGATACATCCACGGTGGAGGTGGTCAACCACCTGTGGGAGCATGGTCGTGGTAAAGACTTCGAAGATGAGGAGAACAAGGAGAACCAGAGCGGCAACTCCCAAGCGGAGCGCACCTTATGCGGCTCCAACAAGCTCACAGACACAATGAGCTTCACAGACTCTGTGCTGAACTCCTCGGACTTTCGTCACCTGCAGCAGAGCATTTCGCGCAAGCCGCTCAGTCCGTTGGCCGATCAGCCGCAAATCACCATTAGCCGTGCGGACACCGACCCCGTTGAAACAGAAGCCGAGGCGGACATCGATGAGTGGCCCTCGACGCCGGTGAAGGAACCTAGCCGACGAGTGAGACGCACTAAGGTTTCCCCCAGAACCGCCAGTCCGGCGAGTAGCGATGGCGTACGTCCATTAACCTGCACCGAGGATGAAAACGAGGATGAGGACAAGACGCCGGTGAACAAGAAGAGAGTATCAATCTCCACGGTGGGCCTTATGCCGCGGAATCCCTCCTCATTGAGCAGTACTCGCTTGGATGGATGCGATGTTGCCGTGGCCTCCTCAACCGAACGTGAATTTGGCATTTCGCCAAGCCTGGCCAAGAACCTATCGCCCTTGTCCTCGCCGAGGAGCTGCCTCTCATCGCCGCTGCTTGACAGTACCACCAGTTCCGAGCGCCGGCAGCTCATGAGCGGTGGCGGTGCAGCTCGCAAGGCCAACTCCTCGCCTGCGGGTAGCGAAGCGAGCTCCACCAGCGGATTCACAACAAGCGGCAGACGTGGACCAGGACTGGGATCCAGTTCTGTCACCGCACCGCGTAGCATTTCACGATGCTCCAACTCCAGCGAGTTTAGCCACCGAGATGGGAAACTGCTCCCCTTGAAGGTGACCCACACGAGCCTTTGCTGGGGCAGCACAAAGTTGCGAACAGACGTGCGCAAGTCCATGCAGGTTAAGAACACGGCGGACAAGCGCCTCGTCATCCGGCTGGGCATCCAAGGACCCGGATTTCAGCTTGTCGGCACCGACAGCAGCACCATCACACTGCAGGCCATGGAATGCCGGTCGGTGGTGATTAACTTTTGTCCCACTGTCTGTGGCGCGGCCATCGGAGCCTTGTCTTTCTATGCGCCGCCAGGAGCCCATAACAGCAGCCAGCCGGGCCTGGAGATCCCGTTGTACGGCTACGGCGGCAGTGCGTCTATCACCATACAGGGTCTGCTAAAGGGACCGGTGGGCGCCAGTTTCCTCACAATCGGCGATGTGTGCGAGCTATCCTCTGGACCCCTTTCGGCGAGTCTGAGGTTCCACAACAAGGGCCCGCTGACCGCTTTCGTGGGCATTTCTGTGGACTCCACCGTGCTGATGAAACTGCGTCTGAGCGAGGCCTTTGAGGTGCGTCCCAGCCGGATGATCTTGCCGCCCAATAGCGAGGGCAGCGTGCAGGTCCTCTTCCGGCCGAATCGCGAGGACTTGAAGAACATACTGAAGAAGACCGTTCAGGTGTTGACGTTGGCCAACATGCGGATCTTCTGCGGGGACGAGCCCAACAGGCAACGAATGCGCAGCCTGGTTCAGCGAATGAGCAGCAGACAGCGAGAGAAGCTCACCTCGCCAATGCTGGACAGCATCTGGGGAGAGTTTCCGGGAGAACAGCCAGTGCGGAACATTGGGCTGCTCAACGAGCCGCCCGAGTTCATCCTGGACCTGGTCACTGTGGTGCGGATCATCGATGTTGCGCTTACCCTTAATCGGGATTTCGATGAATCCTCGGAAAGCTCGTTGATGTTTCTTCCTGAGGCCGAAGAAACCGTATTATTCCGGACGATATGTGTGGCTAGTTCGCCGACGCCAACCCAGAGCAACTTACTGGAGCCCGTGGATGAGCTATTGGAAGCGGACACTACCACATTGATGCCCGTCGAACGGAATTGGTCGGTGCAGCCTCCTTCGCTGGAATTCGGAGTCGGCGGCCCTTCGCTGGCCACTCTGTCTGTGACGAACAGCTTCCGTTCCAGGCAGCTCATCGAGGTTAGCTGCAGTGTTCCGGATTTGGTGCGGATCAGCCCCAGCGAGTGCTATGTGGCTCCGGATGGCGGCCAGGCGGAGATCGATGTGCGCCTGCTGCGTTCTCCCAGGCGTGATCTGCTCGAAAAGGAGCCCCTAATCGTGGTCTCCATGGAGAGCGAGCGCATCAATGTGCCACTTAGCTTTAAGTCTTAAATATTAATTGTGCCTGCAAATATCGTTTGTCGTGTACTTAAATTGTTTGAAGAAATTCTTTGCTGTTTACTAATAAAATAAAACCGTTTATAGATGATTCGTAAGTAATACACAGTTAATTGGACAAATAATAAATAATAATTGAGAAACTTATTTAATAGCATCTGGGCTACTTTAACTTTTTAAATAATAACGACTATGCTAACGATAACTAATCCAAAATGATAGAGATGCGTAATCTGTAGGGTTGTCAGATGCACAGGCAGCTTATACTGTTCACACAGCGGGTTTCCATTTCAGCGACCAAAATTCCGACTTTTTCAAACAGTTTAACTTGTGAAAATTGTCATGGTGTCACTGCTGTCCCAAAAAAGTCCATAAATAATTAATGGAAATCTCATCATTGATTAATTTGCTAATAGCAATGAAATAATAATTTGGCGGTGAAAACATGGCACATGCTGTCGTTCAAATTGTATTTATTCTTGCGTTTTGCTGAATTTGCACGTCCTCTCCTTTCGGATGCGATTTGCCGATTGGCTGTTCGCTTCAGCGATTGACGGCCAATAACAGGTGGACATTATTTTCCTTTTTTAGAAAATCTATTATTAGAGTAGGCATGGGAGGAAAAGGAAGAACTCGAAGAGGGCATAAATGGAAAGTCACTTTAACAAATTAAAGTATTTATTTATATATTTCATTTATTGTATTACTTATTATTTATTTATTTCAATTACATTTTCGACTAGTTCAAAAATCCGTTAAGTCCATGGGAGGAAAAGGAAGAACTCGAAGAGGGCATAAATGGAAAGTCACTTTAACAAATTAAAGCATTTATGTATATATTTCATTTATTGTATTACTTATTATTTATTTATTTCAATTACATTTTCGACTAGTTCGAAAATCCGTTAAGTCCTTTTTTAACTGGCCGTTATCGTTATCATTTTCGATTGAGAGTACGGTCTATCGGCTAGGTTAAACGAGTAGTGTCCACCTCTAATAAGAAGAAGCAGAGAAGAACATATATATATATATATACGAATGCAAAGTGCAAGATTTTCCTGCATTTCCCTCTGAAAATGGACGCCGACAGCAGTGGATCTGTGCAACGAGGTATATATACACATATTCGATCGG